GGAGTTAAACCACGACAACATCTAAGAAGGACTAACATGGTTTTATTTACTGCTTCGCAACAGTCTTTCATAGGCTGTGGTTTCTCCTCTGATGGGTTTGGGTGAAAAACACTGGAGAGAGGTGAACACTGGGGGTTCGGTGGCACTTGTGGGGAACTGAGCTGCTGTCAGGAAACCTCACCTTGCCAGCGTCCAGTCTGTGACCCAAGGCCAGCAGAATGGCTCGGCAGGATGGCCTTACAGATGTGTAACCAGCACGGTTCAGTGGGCTGCATTTGATGTGGCCGGTGTAAACTTGTCATTTGTTCCTGAACCTGATCATCCATTCCAAAGCAGATGAATTAATTGCCCATATCCTTAATTTAGCTTGTTCTCTCCATGTTTTGTTTGTGATTATGAAATGAGCTGGATGCTTTTCATACCCAGCTGAACTGTTCAATTCAGTGACTTCTGATCGCTGTTAATTACACAGGATTATGGTTCATGAACACATGCAAGTTAACTGATTTTGTGCACTTACGTCTGTTCATGCAGCACTGTAATTCCTGTAACACGCTGCCTGCCTTTGACTAATGATAATCTTGTAATGGAAGGATCAGAAGATTTTTAGACAGATTTAAAACAAAAGTCAAAGCTCTGGTTCCTCTACATTCCACTGGAAATGGCTGAGTCGTTTTCAGGATTTCTTTTGAAAGAAAATCCAGTCCAACCATGTCAGGCTTTACCAGAAAACTACATAGGCAATGAATTATAGCTTCATCCAGGGAGTTTTTGCTCAAATTAGATTTTCCTTTTTCTGTTCTTAGTTGCTGTAGGTCAAACAAGAAACTCCTCCACCTGTGAGCGTGGATGTTGTGCACCTGAAGGGGACAGAGTGCACTAAAAACACTGCCCCTTTCCTGGACGGCCTGAGAGTGGGGATGAGCTCATAGCTTTATGAAAGAGGAGGTGTCTGTCTCTTTTTCATAGGTTTATAAGCTCCTCCTGATTCTCCAGAAAGGAATTAACAGTGGTGGACCTGTATAGAGCTCTCTTTGTGGAGCACGATAGTACCCAGGTTCTGCGTTACACATTTGGTTTAGTTTACAGCTGAGCTGAAAATGAGTTTAGGTGGCCTGTAAGACTAGCAAATTTTACTCATTGTCAAGCTATACTGTCCACCATAATCTCCTCCCAAATAGTCCCTATTCTGTACAAGTTTGAGAGACGTGGTAAAGGTTCAGCCCATGTCACTTTTAGGTCTAAGAACTAGGCCTTTAACTTCCAAGACTTTATATTTAACAATAGCAAAGCAAATTCTCTTTTAATGCATTTTTGGATAAATCTTCCAATGTCTCTAGCCTTGATGCTCATGGTCTAATGTGTTTATTGAGGTGCTGGAGGACCGTGTGACAGTGATTGAGCCCCATCACCTCTCCTTTGTAGACCCGGAGATTCCTAGCGAGAAAATCCTGTTCAACGTGACTGTCCCTCTCCTTCCTGGCCAAGGCAAGTGTGTCTATTCAGAATATGGCAGTTTGCTGCTGAATTTAATGCCGTGCTTTCTGAGCACATCTAAATTCTTTCTTGGAGTATCATTCTGCAGAGGCATCTTAATCTGTTGTGCCTCCTTCATTAGCTTTCAAACACTTTGTTTCTTAACCCGATTTCTTTGACTTGTTTAGGAGTAAACCACAGAGCTCAGACAGTTTTTTTACTATTGTCTGGAATATATCGAATGTTGTACCCCATGGCTTTCTGCTTTCCACCTCTCTAGTGAGAGGTATTGGAAGAAATGACTAAGTGATGATTCTCTGTTTAATTTCTCATGTCCCAAGAACTCATCTTTGATGCAGTTACAGCCATCTGACTCTTTCAGAAACCACTGAATATGTAAAAAGAAGTACCTGGGGAGAGAAAAAGAAGCTGTGGCCTTTGGTATCTTGTTTTAAAAATTAAATGGATTCCTCCTGTTAATACTGAGCTCTCTACCTCTGTAGGTATCGTGGAACATAGAGACAGGCCTCTCTCCCCAGTCCGATATTTCACCCAAGCAGATATAAACCATGGCAAAATTGCTTATCGTCCACCAACTGCAGCTCCTCACCTGAGAGAGATCATTGCCTTCTCCTTTGCGGGTAAGGAACTGAGTGTTCTTCGTGGTTCCGTGACGGACTGGTAGAGGTAGCTGGGCTTCCTCCAGTCCTGGAATGACTTCATGATTCTGTCCATGCTTGCAAGGGCATGAGGCTTGAATGATACAAAACTAGGAATCTGCCTTGGAGGATTGTACCAAGAGGTCACCCATTCCTTGTGCCTTCAATAAGATTTTCCCCTATTCAGTGAATTATGGGGATACGGCAGTGTTCACTGCAGCGTTTAGCATTGCCAACACTAGTACTGGATGCTGTCCTAGGCAAACTGCTGATCTCCTGTCTGGTTAAGAACCACTGGCAACCGCTCCCGTGCTTGAGATCTGTGATGCACTGGGGGTGTAGTCCTTGAGATTGAGACTAGAATTGATATGAACTCAATCAATTTAGCCAGGATATTGGACAGTTTCCACCATCAACGGTCTCGAGCAGGAGGCAGAGGGGTAAAAATAGGACAAACTTCAAGCGTGTTTGACCAGTCGATGTTCAGGATTGTGTGATGAAGTGACAGTACATGTCACATGCATGTACTTTGAGAACTCATGGTTCTCTGCATCACCATGCCCTCTACCGACATGAAGAGGAGCTTCACAGTTTGGAGGAGGAGGTAGCCTGTTCTCTCTCCTTACCCGGAGCGAACGCTAGGACAGAGCACTTTCCTTACTGAGGAAGGACTCCAGCATGGTTGAATGTTAGCATTTGCTTTCTCCAAGAGTAGTTAAAATCCACATCGGTGTGTGCTTTCCTGTCCTGACCACAATTACTCTGCTTGTGTTTGTCCTGTCAGGTCTCCCAGAGTCAGTGAACTTCCGATTCACAGGTAAGTGAACCATTTGCTCTTTCCTGGCCAAAGCAGTTGTTATCTTTGTGTCCTTTGTGTTGCCTGTTACTCCTTGGCCTTTCTTCTGCTGAAAGCACACCTATGGACACTCCACAGGAATTTCTGGAAATGCATGTACCTGGGGAATATTAACCCAGTGGTGTTGTATAGAAACTGCAGCTCAGTAGAGACATCTTTTTCCAATAGTTGCCTGGAATCTCTCCTAAAAGCCCAAGTCATTCCTCTTTTCACCCAATGTGAACAAGGACATCAGAGTTGTACACTGGATTGTTTTTTTTAATATAGCATGGAAACACTTGCACAATTAAATTGCTACTGATAAGCTGCTTGGTTGTTTAACACATCTCTCCACGTGCTTTCTAGCACGGGTATGCACAGTGTCCACTAGCAAGGAGAAGTCCACGTTCTGACTTAGGAGCGCACCTGATAGCTGTATGGAAGATCTGCACGGCACACACACAGACTTCACAAGTTCCATTGTCTTGCTAGGACCTGTGTTAGGGGCAGAGACAAATGCTCTTGGCAGCTGTGAATTGTGTGTGTATGTCCACAAAGGTGTAGATTGGTAAGGTGGGAGAGAAGTCAGCGACGTGGGGTGGTGAGTTTGTACAGAAAGATGAATTTCCCAGGGGAGTCCCTGAAAACCGTACATTCATGTGTGGTTTTTGTCTGTATCTAGTGTCTGATGGTGAACACACAACCCCGGAGATGGTGTTTGTCATTCATTTGCTCTCAGCGGAGCAGCAGCCTCCCGTCTTCCAGATCACAGCTCCATTCCTGGAGGTCAGCCAGGGGGGCAAAGCCATCATCGGTGAGTAGGGTGGAAGCGATGAGGTGCAGAGCTCAGCCTGAGGCATGGTGTTTATTGCCAGGAGGCCACATGGATAGAGCAAGGGAGTGTTCTGGTCTCACTCACCTCCGTCTGTTTAGCTAAGGAGCTGTGGTTGTGCTGGTGTAGCAGCAACCACTGAGAAAACTGCCGTGGTGCCTCGGACAAGCGCGTGGGGATATGGCAGTACCCTCCCGTGCATGGCAGGTCTGTGTGTTAGCTGAGGCAGGGGAGAGCAGGATTGGGGACCTGCTGCTCCTCTACTTTTTCCCCCATAGGGTGCTCTGCAATTGCTGAACTGTGGTTAGTGGTGTGATCTGGTACACTGGGTTGTTCAGGGTAAGACACTTTCCTCTGGTGTCAGGACATTCTCTGGGGTTTTTGTAGATACCTCCCTGCTGTATGAACACATGCACGTCTCTCTCATAAGCTGAGGGTTTGCATAGCTGTCATTTATGAGCCATACTAGCAATAAGTTCTCTGATACAACCTCTGATCTGAGCATCATCAGGGGACTGATTATTTCCATGAAACCGTAAGCTCTTGGACTAGGGCAGCTCCAGAATTATTTTAATTTTCACGTACTGACTGAATTACAGTTTTCCATTCACAAGAGCACATCACAAAACCTGAGGGATATCCCCAGTGTCGCAGCTGAAGATGCTGAAGCCATGCTCTCTTTCCCCGGCACAGGGATCCAGTTAGCCGTGAGCGACACGGATACAGCTCCCGAGGGACTTTTCTTTGAGCTGGTGAAACCTCCCCGTCATGGCATCGTGCTCAAGTACAGCGCAGGCGTGCAGGAGCGCATGAGAGCAGGTGAGTCGAGTCTTCCCCAGCACAGGAGAGGGGTCAGCGTGTGCCTGTCCACGTGGCTGTTTCAGTTGACCATGAGGAGACAGACACCCCTGGCAGATACGGCTGCATCCACAAGTGTGTAAATTTTGTCTCTGGAAGTGTGTGACTGCAGGCTGGAGTGCGCGAAAGACATTTTGCCCTTTGCTGTTTAATTCCTGGCTGAATCAGTGGGTTTCCTGTACCAAGTGTGTGTGGGCTGGTTGACAGTCACTCTGTAGTGATATATAACCAGCTGCTAATCGAAAGGGCTGTTTAGTTTTACAGGTGAGTTATACCTAAAGTAACTTAGTGAGGTAACGTAATGAAACGTTTCTACTTGAGTCTATGTAAACCTGTTGTGATTCAGCAGTCAAAATCTCCTGTGGAGTTTTACTGTTGATTTTGGTGGCAGCAGTTTCCAGTGTGCAATCAGATGAACAAGTATTATCTGTAGGAGAGTAGAGCAAGCAGAAGATGTGGAGAGGGAAGCCTTATCTAGCTATGACAGGCATGAGCTTACAAAGAGGCTGGGAAGAAAGGAGGATCCGTACACTCCCAGAGAATTGCAAAGACTCGCTGTGTCTGCGAAACTGTGAAGGTTATAGCTTTTCCTCTGCCCTGCATATATACTAGCTTCTTAATAAATGTCTTCATAACTCACATCCCTGTAAGGATGGTATTAAATGCCAGTTTACTGCACGATTAAGTCTTTCGCTAAATAGGGGCCTGAGGTCATTTGAATTGGATTGGTGCTCTGACCAGACTCTTTCTGACTCGTGCATTTTCTCTTTGGGAAGGTGACACCTTCACCTACGAGGACGTCACCCGGAATGCTCTGCAGTACGTGCATGGCGGTTCATCGGCAGCAGAGGACAGCATGGAAATCTCTGTCACCGACGGCGACACCACAGTGACCACCGTGCTGAGGGTGGAAGTGTCCCTGCTGGATAACAACGGACCGCAGCTAGCCCCAGGCTGCTCGTTGGCAGTCACCGTGGCTAGTAAAAGCTCTGTGACTCTCTCTCGGTTGCACCTTGCTTATGTTGTAAGCTTTCATCTATTTCTAAAGCCAGTGAATGCTGCCAGCCTCCCCTTCCTTACACCCCCAGACCCCCTGCCGCACACACCTCTCTGCTGTCAGCGTGGATTCTTGGCAGAGAGCTTGAGCTTTGACTGTGTCCTCACTACTGCTGCCGAAAAGGGGATAAGAGACTCTCTCATCCAACAGGGTTTTAAGGCTGCCCCTGTTTGATTGAAACAGAGGTGAACTGCTGTGCTAAACATGAGAACTGAATTAATCCCAGATTTTTGTGTCAAACAGACTTGCTAATAAGGCACATGGATTTGCTAAGTGATAATCCCTTGAAATTTTTAGCCCCCTCACCCCCCTTCCAGAATTGTCTCATTCTTTTTCTGGATGTATTTGAAGGGGAGGAGAGGAGTGGTTAAGCAACCGAAGATGCTGCACTACTTGGTAGCTTGGAGTAGGTCCCAGGCGTTGCGTGTTGTACAGGAATTGCCTGCTGGTGAAATTCAGAAGAAAGGTGTTTTACTCCTTGCAGATGGTTTAGCAGCAAATGCACTAGCAGTGCATTTCAGGTATGCAGATAAGCTCCCCCTATGGAGGAGGGAGGAGAGAGTGCAGTGCCGCTGTGAGGCGGGAAAGACCTAAGGTAGTGGCTGTCAGAGAGATGCTTAGAGGGTGAGGTAGGATAAGAAGGCAGAATAATGTTTTTTCCAAGGGATCAGTCTGGATAAAAGTCTGGGGTCTGTCCTGTTCTCCTCTTAAGGAGGAAGGCTGACAGGGGAGTTGTTCAGGTTTCATCTGAGTAAGAGAACAGGGAAAAGAGGATTTCATTCCTGACCTATGTGAGGATTTCATTCCTGACCTATGTGCTGAGGATATGAAGATTTCCACTTTGAGTCTTACCTTTCAAGCAACCAACAAAATATTCTAGAAGAAAGATGACATCTGAGTTGTGATATCATAGAGATGGTTGTATTATTGCAGTTAAAAGGAGCCAAAATTGGCTTTCAGTTTAATGTGAATCTGTCTTTTGCAGCGTTGCTCCACATTAACCTTTGTTTTACTGAGAACTGAACTTAGCTCTGTCTCTCTGAAGCACTGTTGGGCAACAGTTACTCCCTCTGCCAGCTGTCAGCTAAATTTTGGTTCCCTTTATCTGGAATCAGGAAAAGCATGTTATATAAATGGTTGAGTCCACTAGGAGTATAAAGTAATTTGAAAACAAAAAGATCAGGTTTATGTCTGGGAGATTGTGTTGACAAGGACACACAGAAAACCTCTCTGAGCTGAGAGAAAATGAAAATACATTTTGTGGTAGAAACAACCCAATTGACTCTTTGCATCAATAGCTCTTCATTTAATATTCACCAGCCAT